ACAGGATCAGTGAGTTGGAATCAACTCGGGTTGGGGGTTTGGTTTGGTTTTCGTTAATTTTGACCTACAATTCACACAAAAAATGTTGATGTTACAGTGTCAATATCACTACTCATAGTAAGAATACTGAGTAAAATTTGATGATACTTGGCAGTTTGTTTTTTTCCCCCAGAGTAGATCCATTAAGGAAACTGAGAATGTATTGAAAAGTCACTTGAAGTGGTTCTTTTTTCTTAGAGTTGTTTAGTAACACTTTTTTAAAATTTATACTCACATGATTCTATCATAAAACTTTATAAAAGTATTCAGTAAAGGTTATCATTCTCTTGTCTACTGATTTGTCATATTCCTTCTATTATCTAGATTACCCTGTTAGCAGGTTATTGGGTATCTTCCAGTGTTTCATTATTATAACTTAATATATAGTTAGAATATTTATTTAACTTTTTCAACTTTGTTGTTGTTGTTAAATGCCATAGTGTTGGTTCTGACTTATAGCGACCTGGTATATGGTTTGCTTTTGCCTTTGAATTTAATTTTCTTAATATGTGTGATTTTTACTTGGTTCAAAAATCAAAGTTATATAAACAACAGAATTATTATCTTTTAGATACAAAGAGTTGCATGTTGTATGTATTATTTCATACAATGCATATTTTCTTAATAATACCTGGTGCTTCAGTGAGTTCATGGAAAAATTCCATTGTGCTTTAATTCCATTTTTCCACAAACACCTTGATATAGCGTTGTTTCTAAACATTTGCTATTGTAAACAATAATACAGCGAATAATTTTGTGTTTATCATTGCATATATTTGCAATAATACTTATATGGTGAATTCCCAAAAGTGATCAGAAGGTATATGCTGTTTGTTATAAGTTTGGAACATACTGCCTTCCTTTGGAGTCCTGGTGCGGTGCTGTAGGATAAGCACTGGACTGCTAACCGCAAGGTTGGTGGTTCAAACCTACAGTCGCTCCTTAGAAATCTTACACGGGTCGCTATGAGTTGATACTGACTCAGCAACACTTAACAACAACAATTTGACTTAGAATTTATGTCAATTTACACCTCCTCGAGAATGGTTGAGAGTGCCTGTTTCGTTTGTTACTTCAACAGCAGAGTATACTGTTAAAGTTTTAAATTTTTGCTAATAAGACAAGTAAACAATATCTCAGTGTATTTTAAATTGCATTTCTCAAGAATGAGGGTGAGCTTTTTTTTTTTTTTTTTTTTTTTTTTTGGTTAGGTACAAGTTGTGCTTTTTTATTAGTGAACTTGATATTTATGTTTTTTACCCACTTTTTGTTGGCTTTTTTTTTTTCTCTTTGTTTTCTATTAACTCATGTATTAAGGAGATTATACTTTAGTATGTGGTAGGGATCACACATCTTTTTACTTATTAGACATTGGTCTTTTGATGGTGCTGTGCCTTCTAAGAAGTTTGCTTGATTGTTCATTTAGTCAAATTTTTTATCTTTTATATCATTGGGGTTTGAGTTACAGCGACATCTACTACTCCACTCCAAAGTTATAAAACCAGTCTGCCATCATTTCTTCATGTACTTTTTCAGTTATCTTTAAATCTTTGATACTGTTGATATTTAGCCTGTTTTTCTATGGGAAGTATGGATCCAATTTTATTGTTTCCACATGGCTATTTAATAGTCTTCCCAACACCATTTTTTAAGTAGTTGCGTTCTCCTCACCTATTGAATTTGGATACCAGCTTTATTATACTGTCATGTTCTTGCCATTGTGACAATTTCATCAGAGTGCTTTCAGGCAATTTAACATACTGCCTGTGATTAGGATCCCTCTTAGTTGTTTGATGATAAGATAATAACTATAAATCTTTATGATGTCAAGATCATTGTTGCATTTGATAAAACCAAAATCCATTGCCATTGAGTCAATTCCAACTCACAGCAAGTCTATAGGACAGAGTAGAACTGCCCTATAGACTTTCAAAGGTTATAAACTTTACAAAAGCAGGCAGCCATATCTTTCTCCTGCAGAGTGGCTGATGGGTTCAAACCACTGACCTTTTGGTTAACATCTGAAAGCTTAAATACTGCTTAATGAGGGAAATCAGTGCTCCAAGAGTTAAGATTGCCTATAATCAATCTTACAGTCAAGGTTGCCTGTAATCTTTCCTCAGCAAATTTGTCATGAATTCATGAGAACCTTGTTTTATCTTTCAACTTGCCCACAGAGAGGAATGTACTATGCTTTTACAAGATTATTAAAGCATGTTGATTATGTTCATCACAGATAATGCAAATGATTTAGGGTTCATTCAGTTCATAGTACACGTTGTTGTTGTTAGGTGCCATCGAGTCTGTTCCAACTCATAGTGACACTATGCACAACAGAAAACATTGCTCGGTCCTGGGCCAACCTCACAATTGTTGCCACGCTTGATCCCATTGATGCTGCCACTTTGCCAATCCATCTCGCTGGGGGTCTTTCTCTTTTTCTCTGACCCTCCATCGTAATTACCAAACATGATATTCTTCTCCAGCTACTGGTCCTTCTTGACAATATGTCTAAAGTATGAGAGATGAAGTTTGGCCATCCTGGCCTCCAAGAAGCACTCTTGCTGCACTTCTTCTAACACAGATCTGTTTGTTCTTTTGGTAGCCCATGGCACTTTGAATATTCTCGTCCAACACCATAACTCAAAAGCATCAATTCTTCTGCGGTCTTCCTTATTCACTGTCCAGCTTTTGCACGCATATGAAGTTATTGAAAATACCATGGCTTGGGTCAGGTGCACCTTAGTCCTCAAACTGACATCTTTGCTCTTCAAAACTTTAAAAAGGTCTTGTGCAGCAGATTTGCCTAATGCAATACGTCGTTTGATTTCTTGACTGCTACTTCCCGTGAGTGTTGATAGTTCATCCAAGCAGAATGAAGTCCTTGACAACTTCAATGTTTTCTCCGTTGATAAGAATGTTGTTTATTGGTCCAGTGGTTAGAATATTTGTTTTCTTTTCATTGAGATGTAATCCATACCGAAGGCCATGGTCTTTGTTCCTCATCAGTATTTTAAGTCCTCTTCACTTTTAGCAAGCAAGGTTATTTCATCTGCATATTGCAGGTTGTTTCTAATGAGTCTTCCTCGAATCCTGATGCCATGTTTTTCTTCATAAAACCCAGCATCTCAGATTATTTGCTCTGCATACAGGTTGAATAATTATGATGAAAGAATACAACCCTGTTGCACAACTTTCTTAATTTTAAACTACTCAGTGTTCCCATGTTCTGTTTGAAAAACTGTCTCTTGGTTTATGTATAGATTCCTCATGAGCACAATTAAGTGTTGAGGAATACTCATACTTTGCAATGTTGTCCATAGCTTGTCATGATCCACACAATTGAAAGTCTGTGCATAGTCAATAAAGCATAGGTAAACATCTTTCTGGTTTTGTCTGCTTTCAGCTAAGATTTATCAGACATCAGTGATGCTATCCCTTGTTCTGAATTGATATCTCTTCTGAATTCGGCTTGGACCTTTGGAAGTTCCTTGTTAATGTATACCTGCAGCTGTTTCTGTATTACCCTTAATAAAACTTTACTCGCTTCGGATATTAAAGATGTGTGATTTGCACACTTTGTTTGGAAAGGGCACAAATACGGCTCTCTTCCAATCAGCCAGCCAGATAGTTGTCTTCCAAATTTCTTGGCATAGGTGAGTGAGTGCCTCCTCTGCCACCTCACTTTCTTGAAAGATTTCAGTTTTTATTCCATCAATTCCTGGTGCCTTGTTCTTTGCCAATTTCTCAATGCACCTGGAACTTTTTCCTTTAGTATTTTTGGCTCTTGATCATATGCTACCTCTTGAAACGGTTGAACATCAACCATTTCCTTTTGGTACAATGATTTTGTGTATTCCTTCCATCTCCTTTTGATGCATTCTGCATCCTTCAATAATGAAAGTCGAGCCTTGAATGTTTTCTTCATTTCTCCCCGCTTGATAAATTCTGAACGTGTTCTTCCCAGATCTTTGCACATTTCATTGTAATATTTGACTTTGTCTTCTCAGGGTGACTTTTGAAATTTTCTGTTCAGCTCTTGTACCTTCTCATTTCTTCTATTTGCTTTAGCATCTCTATTCTGTAGAGCAAGTTTCATTGTCTCTTCTAACATCCATTTTGATCTTTCCTTCTTTCTTGTCTTCTTAATGTCACATTAGGGGACTTCAAAAAGTTTGTCGAAAAATCCCATTATCTTTTAATTCCATTTTTCCATAATCTTTTTAAATATTGTATTGACAGCTTTTAAAGTGAAACTTAAGGCAGTGTCTTAGTCATCTAGTGCTGCTATAACAGAATACCACAAGTTTGTTAAGCGGGTAGAAGTCCAAATTCAGAGCTCCAGCTCTAGAAAAAGGTCCTTTTCTCCTTTCATCATCTATCTTGGCATCAATCTTTGCCTGGACCTAGGAGCTTCACAATGCAGACCCGAAATCCAAAGTACCCACTTCACTCCCAGTTCTTCATTCCTTGTAGAAATAGGTCTTTCTGATCTGCTTGCCTGTTTAATTTATTTTATGTAATAAAAGAAATTGACTCAAGATATACCCCAGTACTGTAGATTGCGTCTGGCCTCACTAGCATCATAGGAGAGAGGATTTACAACACATAGAATAATTACATCAAATCAGGCTTGCTCACAATAGATACATCATGGGAGAATGATTATATTACATCTTATCATGAGGGATTATTCTTTCTTAACTGCCAGACCACTGATAATATAGACCCAGCCAGGTTAACACAGAACCTTAACTGTCGCAAACAGTTTCAGTAGAGAAACTTCCTGGACCAGTTAACTTCTTTGGAGTGATTAAAAATCAAATATGGTTCATTTGTGGTCTGCTAGAGCTGTGAGAAAATACAGTTGGTATGACTGTGATCTGACACTAGGTGAGAAATGACCTTGACCATGTCTGTGGACAAATTATAAATAGTAATCTCATTTCTGTCTTTTTCAGTCGGCCAACTTTGTCTATCCAACATCCACCATCTGCAGCAATTAGTATTCAGCGTCCTGCCCAGTCACGAGATGTAACGACAAGAATAACACTACCATCTCATCCAGCATTAGGAACGCCAAAACAGCAGCTTCACACCATGGCTCAGGTGAAAAACAGATGTAAAGAACCATCTGTTTACTTTGTGTGTAAGAAATAGAATCATACACAGTTATGCTAAGGACCTGGAAGTATTGAAGGTGGTGCTTGCTTTTAAAATGGGTCGAGTAGGAAATATTCTTGTTTATAACTCTGTTGTGTGTTTTCCCCCACAGAAAACTATCTTCAGTACTGGTACGCCAGTAGCTGCAGCAACAGTAGCACCTATTTTGGCAACCAACACCATTCCTTCAGCAACCACAGCTGGTAAGTTGATAACACTGTTCTTCCTATGAAGGAAAAAGAAGATGTGAATGAGATTCTCTCAAAAAGAATAGTCTAGAAAAAATAATCTCTTAACTTTTCCCAAGAGCCATTTCAGGTTTTGAGAAACTGCAATGTGTACAGAGACCATTGTTGAAGAATTTTCTTTTTCCTCTTATTTTAGGATCTGTGTCACACACACAAGCTCCCACGAGTACTATTGTTACTATGACAATGCCCTCACACTCTTCCCATGCTACTGCTGTGACCACATCAAACATCCCTGTTGGTAAGTGTCTTGTAGCCACCAGGTAGAAGCTTAAAAGGAATTCTTTATCCCCTCTAATATGGCACTGTAGGATCAACACTGAACTGCAAACCACAACGTTGGCAATTCATACACACCAGCTGCTCCTCCGAAACCCTGCACAGGGTTACTATGAATTGGAATTGACTTGACAGAACAACAACAAATAGGCCTTGATTTTGATGGATTTGTTGTTGTTAGGTGCCATCAAGTCGGTACTGACCCATAGCGACCATATGCACCGCAGAAAGAAATACTGCCTGATCCTAGGCCAACCTCACTTCTGTTGCCATGCATGAGTCCATCGATGTTGCCACTTAGCCAGTCCATCTTGTTGGGGCTCTTCCCTCTTTTCTCTGACCCTTCACCTTACAAACATGATACCCTTCTCCAGCGACTGGTCCCTCCTGACACTATGTCTGAAGTATGAGAGACAAAGCTTGTCCTTCTTGGCCTCCAAGGAGCACTCTGACTGTACTTTCTCCAAAATGGATCTATTGGTTCTTTTAGTAGCCCATCGCACTTTCAGTAGTCTCCTCCAACACCATAACTCAAAAGCATCAATTCTTCTATGGTCTTCCTTATTCACTGTCCAGGTTTCGCATGCATATGAGGTTATTGAAAATAGCATGATTTGGGTCAGGCACATCTTAGTCCTCAAGCTGGAAGATTTGTCTAATGTAATACGTCGCTTGTTTTCTTGACTGCTGCTTCCGTGAGTGTTGATAGTTGATCCAAGAAGAATCAAGTCCTTGACAACTTCAGTCTTTTCTCTGTTGATAAGAATGTTGTTTATTGGTCCAGGGGTGAGGATTTTTGTTTTTTTGACATTGAGGTGTAATCCATACCGAAGGCTGTGCTCTTTGATCTTCATCAGTAAATGTTTTAAGTCCTCTTCACTTTGAGCAAGCAAGGTTATATCATCTGCATATTGCAGGTTGTTAATGAGTCTTCCTCCAATCCTGATACAACGCTTTTCTTCATAGAACCAGCTTCTCGAATTATTTGCTCAGCATACAGGTTGAATAAGTGGTGAAAGAATACAACCTTGTTCCGTGGCCTCCTATCGAATCTGGCTTGAACCTCTGGAAGTTCTCTGTCAATGTATGATTGTAGCTGTTTCTGTATTACCGTTAGGAAAACTTTGCTCGCATGGGTTGTCAAAGAGATTGTCCGATGATTTCCGCATTCCATTGGGTAACCTCTCTTTGGAATGGGCACAGATATGGATCTCTTCCAATCAGTTGCCCAGATAGTTGTCTTGCAAATTTCTTGGCATGGATGAGTGAGTGCCTCCTGTGCCACCTGACTTTCTTGAAAGATTTCAATTTTTATTCCTGGTGCCTTGTTCTTTGCCAGTTCCTTCAATGCACCTTGGACTTCCTCTTTCAGTATCATTGGCTATTGAGTGTATGCTACCACTTTTTTTATTTTAAGGTTTTTATTGTGGATTGAGTGAAAGTTTACAGAGCATAACATCAGTTTTACATTCAACAAATCATATACCTTGTTTCATTACATTGATTATAATCCCCTCCATGTACTATCAGTTAACAGTATTTTTGTCTATCCACTTTAGCTTTTTTAAAAAACACACAAAAAAACTCACTCAGACATATATAATAATTTACATCTCCAAATGTCACGTTCTGTAAGTCTGCTCCTGGCCACCAGCTCCTAGTCCTTCTCTTCTTAGTCCATGAATCTAGAGTCCTCAGCCACTCTCCCTCTCCGTGCCCCCATCTCTGCCTCCATCTCTGCCGCTGCTGCATCTCTGGATAAGGTCCCGCATTCTTGTGTGTTCCTCTCTTGATGATGGTCCTAGGATCCTCTGTTTCTGGACTGTAAGATTAACCACTCCCTTTTTTTTGTTACAAAACTTCTACCTTTACAATTGTGACAGTCACGATTAGTCATGGTAAGTTATTCACTATTGAATCTTACAAATCTTATCCCCATCTCTTTTCACCAGACCCATCTAGACAAGATGACAGCTATTCAGTGTGGACTCATTCTTTACCCCCATACTCTTAAGCTAAACTCCCTCTTGAAACATTGTAAGACAGTCACTTCATGCCTTTATTGCCCCCTCATTTTAGATAACCAATATCTAAGTTGTCCATCCCTATCTGCCCTGTGAATAGAGTGGATAGCATTGAAACTTGATTTAAAGACTCTCTCTCTCTGTCGGTATTTAGAATAACTACCATTCTGAGTATAGGTCAAGTTCATCATGAAGATGCATCATCTGTCACTGTAGCTGTTCCAGTCTGCTTGTACTTTCTAGGGGGAATGTCTCACTTCATAAAGTTGTGGATGGGACTCAGGATTCCACCTAAGGTCCTTGTTGTTGTTGTTGTTGTTTTTAAGTGCCATCGAGTCGGGTCTGACCCATAGCGACCCTGTACAGGGTTTCCGAGGGTGTAAATCTTTACGGGAGTAGAAAGCCTCATATTTCTCCCGCGGAGCGACTGGTAGTTTCGAACCGCTGACCTTAAGGTTCGCAGCCCGATTCGTAACCACTATGCTACATTCTTGTAAAGGCTTTGCATGAGGCCTATGTCACTGGGCAAGTTGTAGAACCCCTTTTCGATATTCCAATCAGTTATAGGCTGAAGGTGGGCTTACAAGTTTTCTCTAATCATGTTTCCCAACATTCCTTTCTATTCCACTCAAGTGTCTATTTTATAATAGTAGGAAAGGGAAACTAATATTCATAAAGCAGTCAAGGATTTTAGTATTATTTACCCTCTTCAAGCTATACCTAGATCCCTGTATCCCAGAGCCCTGTTGTTCCAAGGTTGAGTATGCATCACTA